ATGTTAATGAGTTTTATTTCACTAAAAAGAATAAAAGACTTTCCTAAGAAACAACTAGTTTTATCATTAAATTCAATCACTTATTTTGTATTTTGTATAACTTTATCTATTGAATCAAGCAAATTAACATCAACACAAATGAAACAAACAAAGAGAGTTAAATTCATTGTAATGGGTATAATTCATTCCACAACATTAGAGCCATAACCTAAATCTTATTCTAATAAAAATAGTCATAGTTTATTATTAATTATTTTCATTTTACATATATTTGAATATTTCATTTCTTAGCTTTTCAAATAAAGGTGTTTTAAATTGGAATTTCTTTATACTAAGTTACATCATAGATTGTTTTAACCATTGTATTTTCTTTTCTTCTTTTTCTATTTAATATTAAGACACTTCTTGTAGCTGTTTCAATAGAACTTATTCTTTCTTAAATCTTATAACAAAAAAACATGTTATTTAATGAGCAAATATATCAACTCATTAGCGTCATTCAATAATGTCAATTGTATTGGGGATTCTAACTCATAATATTTATAGTATTTATAATATTACAAAACAACAAAAAAAAAGAAGAAAAATAATAAACATCATTTATTCAAGGTAATTAAAAAAAAAATAATCTAATAATTATTTAGTTCATTCTTAATGCAAAACACAAATAACTTTCATGTTCTAAAAGAATCTTTAAACGCTTTATGCAAAATTGTTGGTTTATTTAACCAAACAAAAAAAGAGACAGAAGAAGCTAATACAAGAAAGTTTAATGAGCATGTAACTATAGTTAACCAATGCATCCAACAGGTGTTTCAATGTTATGGAGATATACCAGATACACAATCACCAAATGAAATGTCTAACACTTTAGACTACATTAGCCTATTTTTATTGACTTGTGTAACAACATTAATCGGTGAAAGTACCAAGTTTTTGAAGAATGTAGAAAATCTATTCAAAGAGGGTCAATCTGATGAGGAAATTGTACAAAAAATGCAAGAACTTTACCAAAAAACACAAGGCATTATGCTTATTAATGGTGTTGGTCCTAGTATCACTTCAATTTATAACAATATCATGACTGCTAAAGGAGATGAGTTAAGAAGTGAATGTCAAAAACTATTAACACTGCTAACTGAGTTAGACAAAAGTAACATCACTACAGTAACCTTACAATTTGGAGAAGATATCATTGACCTTCCACTACAAATTTTGGAGACTAAACAGACTGAAAAAAGTCTCAACAACGCCGACCAGAAAATGGTTCAAAGAGATGAAGGGTCAGCTCAAATGAATTATGGTGAAAGTCAAAAACAAAGAACATTATTAGAAATTAGAGAAGAGTATCAAAAAATTAAGTCAAAAAATAGTCAAATGAAAAAAGATTTGGAAAAAATTAAACAAAGTAATAAGAAAATCGTTCAAGATATTAATGAAAGACTTTTAATAATGAAAGAAATGCAAAAGAAAGAAAATGATATTCAACAAATAATAACACAGTTGAAAATGAAATCTCTAAAGGATGAAAAGACTATTGATGAATTAAGAAAAGAAAATCAAAGACTTAAAAGTTATATTGAACAAATGCCAATGAACCAAATGAGCCAAGAAACTTTCACTCATGAACTAAAACAAGAAACTATCAACAAAAAAGAGAATAGAGTTGATGAAGATATACCAATTGAACCACAAATTGTAACTGTTGACATTCCAATCTATCATTATTTCACTGGGTGTCAAGAAGAAATAGAAATAAATAAACAAATTTTTACTATTCCAATTAGTGTTGGACTATCAGATGGTGCTGAATTTAATTACAAAGGATATGGAACACCAATCAATGGAAGAAAAAGGGACTTAATTATTGTTACTAAAACACAACAGACAGAGTCTTTTCGAAGACAAGAAAATAACCTCTTCCAAACTGTTGTTATTCCTCAGTCTTATAGAAACAAAACATTCCAATGTTCTATTCCATGTATTGATGGAAATAATATTCCTGTTATAATAACAGGACAAGAAGGTATACAAGGACCATATGAAAGATATGGAATGCCAATTGGAACAACTGGAAAAAGAGGTGATTTATACCTCATTATCAAATTAAATTAAATTTCTTAAAACAATTCAATTCATTTTTACTTAGTTTATTAAATATCAAAAATGTAAGAAGTTTAGAGGTGACAACACAAACAATAATACAAAATCAAATAATGAAATATCAATTGATATTTGATTATGATGATGTAATTGAATAAAAAATGTATTAATTAATAATACAAAGAATGAAATAAGATAATAAGAAAGAATAATAAGAAAAGAAACTAGATATAATAATATAGTTGTAATTCAATATTCATTCAACATAAAATAAGAAATAAAGAAAGATATTCTTTAAAAATAAAATAAAAAGAATAAATCAACAGAAGAAAGAGAATACTATCAAAGCAAATACTGATTTTAATGATGAATGATATGGATAATATCCAATACAGAATTGAAAATAAATGACAAATCTATTAACACTTCATTGTCGAATTTTTAATTAAATATAAAAAGAATAATGAAGAAAAACTTGAAATTAAATTTCTTTGACATAGTTGTTAGGAATCCAGCCTTCTTGTCCATTCAATTCTCCTTTCCACCAACCTTCATCTTTTTCGAGAATAGTAATGATATCACCTACTTTGAATGATAACTCTTCGTCATTAGCAGCAGTATATGGATAGAGTGCTTTAACTTGTGGCAATTTTGGTTTTGGAGGAGGTGGGGCAGCAACCTGTGGAGCTGGAGGAGCAGATTTCATTGGAGGGGCAGAATAATTATTTGAGGAGGAGGCAGTAGGAGCAGCATAAGAAGAAACAGAAGAATTATAACTTCCTGGTGTTGTGTCTGTTTCTTTTGGTAAACCAGTTCTTACTAGAACATGTTTACTGAAGGATTTTTGTTCTTCTACAGGTAATGTCTTAGGTCCATCATCTTTCTTAAATACAAGTAATTTATCTTTCTTTTCATCTTTTCCTCTGAAAGAAATTGAATCACTAAAGTTAATTGGGAAACTTTGACCATTCATCAATGCTCTATAATTCTCTAAAAGCATCATCAAGAATTCTGTCTTATGAGGGCATAACAATACTGAGTCATAAGCTCCTCTAACTCTAATAACCATGAAATTATCTTGCATTGTACTCATAACAACTTCACTAATTTGAGATAAATCACCTCTAAATGTAACAATATATTTTAAAACCTTCTTCTTAATTTGTCTTTGAGCAATGTAAATAGCTTTATCTGTAAGTAATAATGCTCTGTTTTCAATCTTTCCTTTTTTGTTAAGTCTCATCACCCAATCATCGAAATTAACTAATTCATCCATATGTCCTTCCATAGCTTCTTGCAATGGAATTTCATTCTCATAATTGATATAATCAGCAGTCCATTTATTGTTAGTATAATCAACAGACTCTCTTCTTCGTTCTTTCTTTCCTTTCAATATAGAAGCAGCTTCTGCTCTTTGAGATAATGCCCTCTTTCTATTTCTATAACCTTTCCATGCTTTTTGAATTTCAACAGCCTTATCAAAGTCCATTTTTTCAAGCATTTCTTCAATAGCAAAAATAGACTCTGGCAATCTAATGAATAACTTAGTAGTACCAAACTGCCATTGACCTGGTTCAATATTTGTGAGTCCTTCAAGAATTAATCTACATCCTTCTTTAGCATCTCCTGTCCATTCTCCCCATGTACCCCATGTCTTTGGTGATAATTTTTTGTATGTTTGAAGGAAACGAGCAAAAGGAGCACGATAGGCAAAACCAGCTCTTCTAACTTTAACATTTTCAAGTAAACCAAGATATTTAACTTGATGTTTGACACGATCAGCATCCCAGTCTTGTGGTTTCTTTGTTTCATTTGGTTTAATGCAACGAATGTAATGTGGTTGACATTGTGACAATGCTGCCATTAACTCATTTGCAGATGTTTTAATTTTAAATCCAGCAGTTGTTGGTCTCTTCTTTTGACCAGTTTTAGCAGCTTCTTGTTCAGCACTCCATGGGAACAAATCATAAAGTAATTGATTATTAGATGTTTGAAGACACTCAACACATTCAAGGAACAATGTATCTTTATTCTTTTCACAAAATCCTTCACAATAATAACTTACAGGTCCAGCATAATGTTGGACTGTAAATGTTTCTCCTGATGGTATAAAGTGTTGGTTTGTTGAATGAACAGAACAACATTTCTCAAGGAATTTAAAATCAGCACCTTCAGTTTGTGCATGCATTGTAGCACAAATATCATCCAATAAACTAAACATTCCTGGTGGATTTTTTCCTTCAATTAAATCACAAACAACTTTATTATTAAAGTATTTAATTGGAGTCCATTTAATACCTTCAGCAATATATTCTTCTTGTTCTGTTTTCAAAGTCAATTCAATAAAGTATTGTTGCAATTTTTCATTAACATAATTAATACAGAATTGTTCAAATCCATTAACTGGGAAAATTTCAAATCCAAAGATATCAAGAATACCAATGACACATTGATGTTCTATTCCATGTTTTTGTAAGGCAATATTAACTTTTTGAACTAACATAGTGAAAATTCTATCGTAAATTTCTTTTGCTATAGCATTTTTAGTAGCTTCAGCTTGTTCTACTGTAAGTGGAGAATCAAAAACTTCAGCTCTAGCTCCAACTCCAGTAGTTAATTTTCTTACTAACATAACATGTTCAAGTTGTCCTGGATCTACCTCAAGAAGATAAGCAGCAGTTTCTAATGCAGATTTATCTGTAATTTCAGCATATCCTGATGAATTTTCAGTGAAATAAACATTTCCTAAATGAAGAATAGCAGCAACTAATTGGAATATCCAATATTGTTCATCAGCAGAAATACCAATAGTATTCATAGCTTTAACACAATCTGCGTAATCTTTTTTATCATCAATACCATCAACTACCATACAATTAGATTGATTAGTATAAACAAAATAATCTGGTGTAGTTAAATAAAAGTCATTATAATAATTTTCTGGTGCACCAGCTAATAACTGATAAAAAATATGATAATTTCTTTCTCCAGTTTGTTGTGTACACACACGTGATTTTTCAAGAAGATAATTTGTAATTGTTCCTCCAACTGGATCAGCATGATCATCAAAATTAATTTCAAAATATTTACCAAAACGAGATGAGTTATTGTTTCTTAATGTTTTGGCATTTCCAAAAGCTTCTAACAATGGGTTAGAATCTAAAATAACATTTTTAACATAAACTACTTTCTCATTTCCACCAGAAACAGCAGCAATATATTGCATAATTTGTTTAGCTGCAACTGTTTTACCAGCACCAGATTCTCCTGAAATAATACAACATTGATTACATTTTTCATTTTTCATATTTCTATATGTTTCTTCTGATAAAGCAAAAATGTGAGGAGGAAGTTCTTGTCTAAATTTTCCTTTATACAAATGAACATATTCATCAGTAGTTAACCCAAGATCTTTAAATGGATTAATAACAATAAGGACAGGTCCAATATTAGTATAAATGGCATCATAATTATATCTTTTCTTTAAGTTATCTACAATCTCATTTTCATCAATTTTCGGTAACATCACAAGATCATCAACTCCTTTCTGAACAAATCCTTTTTTACTCTTAAAAGCAGCAATTTCATTCTCCCTTTCTTTTTCTGTATTTCTCTTGAATCCTACACTCATATCTTTTTATTATCTACTTTTTTAGATGAAACTCTTTATATCTCGTATTTCCATCAACTTTGTAGTTCTTAACTCTGTCATTTGTTTCTGTTTTTGTCCGTTTATTTTCCAGTTCTTAATTCGTACTATTTTAAGATATTTTAGTGGTTATTGACTTATTACATCATCTTTGATAAAAAGAAAACTTTCATTAATTTCTTTAAATTATTTACAGCGTTAGAGATCGAAGGTGGCATGTCTGAAACACCACACATAAACCCTAGTACAAATTCATTCTTCGACTCTCCCAGTTATTATCTGGTTATGACGGTGCTTTTGAATTAGGAATGTATTAGGGAATGCTGCAAAGGGTGCAGCAAGAGAATACAGTAGAATATTACGTGGATGTAATATAAGAATCTACTGAAGTGTGGGTATGACTAAAAGAAGATTAGTCAAAGTAAGACTAAAAAGAAGATTAGTCAAAGTAATACAGTAGTAATAAAATGATTCCTTCTTCCATTCATAAAATAAGAAAAATGAAATTCTTTAAAATTAAGGCAGAAAACAAACAAAGGCTTAAAAAGAAGAAATAAGCAGAAGAAGTTTGAAAAAACCTTAATAGGAAAAATAAAGCAAAGAAGTGCTTTCCTCATTTTGCAAGAAAAACATAAATGATAGGTTTAACAAAGAGATTACTCTTTTTTAATAAGCTCAGGGATGGGATTAGTCTCCCCTGAGCTAGGAAGAATAGATGAAAATTCTATTAATACTTAATTAACTACTTTTTATTTTATTTATTTACAGCGTTGTTCATAAAAAGTACTAAAAAACAATAATTCATTAATTTTGGTTATATATAACGAAAAATAAAATGATAAAAATATAAGAACTAAGAAATAGAATATGAATAGTCAAATATTTGGTGTTTTATTAGAAGATGTTCCATTAAAAGAAGGACTTCCATTACCAGTGTATGATTCATTAAAATATTTTAAAGAAAATCCAACATTATTAGAAACAGAAGGATTATTTAGAATACCAGGAAATATGTCAGTTGTTAATAATTTAAAGAAAGAATATAATGAAGGAAAAGAAGTCAAATTAGAAGGAGAAAATATTCATACTATAGCTTCATTATTTAAATTATATTTTAGAGAATTACCTGATAGTTTAGTTACAGAAGAAAATACTGATTTATTTCTTGTATTTATTGAATTAGATAAAATAGATAAAAACCAAACAATTAAAAAATTACAAAATGTATTAAAAGAATTACCACAGTTTGTAATATTCTTTTCTTTCTTTCTTATTTTAATATTAATTCATGTATAGAGTTCATTTAAATGTTTTAAAATCATTAATTGGGTTTTTAGTTCAAATTACTGAAAAGAGTGATTTAAATAAAATGGATTCAAGAAATCTTTCATTAATCTTTGGTCCTAATATTTTTAATCATCAAGAAGCTTTAGGCTTAGTTCGTCCTGATAATCCTGCAACAACTTGTACTCAATATTTCATTGATAATTATCATCAAATCTTCGACTCTTTAGATGTTTTTTTTCCATTATTAAATACTGTTGATAATAATACTA